CAAAGCATAAAATCATTACTAAATTATTCAAAGTGAACATAAAACAATAAGACACCATACTTGTAAAAAGTGAAAAAAGTAAAGAAACCAGTTCTGAAATTTTCCTATTGATTTAATGCAGATTCAAAAACTGCTCCAATGACACTTGTAAAATATTCAAGTTAATATCAAGATATGTGCCTGTCTCATTTTGGAAAAGACAGACTCTGGGGCTGGAGAGATGGCTCAGTGATTAAGAATACTGGCTGCTCATGGAGAGGACCTAGGTTCTCTTTCTAGCACCCATATGGCAGCTTAAAGCTGTCTAGTTCCAGGGGATATAATGCCCTCTTTTGGCCTCCATGAGCTTTATGACACAGGTGTACTTACAAACATGCAAAAAAAGTCATACACATAAAATAACAATAAATAAATATAGTAAAAATTTTCAAAATAAAACAATCTGAAGGTCACATAGCTGATATTAATGTTATGTATTAACGTACAACATTTTACTATTTGCAAAATCAATACACAATATAGTCACATAAAATAGTAACATAAATAAAAATGAAGTACAGAAAAGGACTCCTGTGTATAAGTTTTACTTTTAACATTAAAGAAAATGTCCACTTAAATCTCAAGGGAATGCAATGTTTTCCATTTTAAAGAAATTAATTTTACAGCTTTTTTTTGCATTATACGGAAATTAACTAATGAAGTATTGAAGTAATGAATGCAAAATAGTTTAGTCATTCAGCAATATGCCAAAATATGCTATATATTATACATTAATACAATGAGATTTTCAATAGAAAATTTAACATATGGGGCTAAGGAGATGGTCCTAGGGTTGGTTTGGAGCACCCGCATGGCATCTTATATCCATCTCTAACTACAGTTTTGGGGGATCTGACATCCCTTTTTTGCCTCCACAGCATCAAGCATGCAGGTGCTGCACATGCATATGTGCATACAAACACTAGTATACTGTTGCAGGTTTCTTTACGGTTCCAGCCCATGAGGAACTCCACGGAATGAGGGTTCTGGCTGAGGTGGGATGAGAGGCATGGAGTCAACACACAGACACCAGGAGTCGGGTTAGGGCAGGCACTAGGCAAGGTGCTGCAGACTTGTTTATTGCCTGGAAGTGCAAGCCTTATATAACTCTCCCCCTACCCCCAGTGTCCCATAAGTTGGTGTGTCACTTCCTGATAGATCCCCTTATCTGGGGAGATTATAGGTTGGCTATTTTGTGAAAGTGCAGGCTGCGTTCTCAAAGCACAAGCTGTGTTCTCCTAGGGCAGCCTGTGCCTAAGCCTGGCACTTCCTCTCCTACATATCCATCCCTTTTTATTATAGAAAGGTCAGGGGGAGCCAAGGTTCTTTGCCTCAACATAGTTGACCCCACCTCAGAGGACACCCAGCTTGATGGACTGTACCTGTCTTAGGTCATCCTGACCATCAGGATCTTACCCATCATTGACTACCAGCCATCAAAGGGAGTTCTGGCATGACCGTGTGAGGGAGGTGGAGGGCAAGAAATTACACAGCCGCTTCTCAGATGTCAGCAAGCCAGACCTGTCAGACCTTGGGGGCCGGGGCAAGGTCAAAGTCTGAATCCTCTAGCATTTTGAGAACCTGATACACTGAGTAATTTACTTGGTTTTGTCTGCAGAAGTGTAAAACAAAGCATTTTATGAGCAAGAAAAGAATAAAGACTATGATACCCAAGAGCAAATAAGTAACGATCCATGAAGGGTGGCCATGGATATACTGTGAGAGTTCCATAATGGCCCTAGCGAGGTTATCTACTTTGTAAGGTATGAGACACAGGGTTTTGAGCTGTGGGTCATAGGCCATTAGCATCATCTATTTGATGATTTCCATCTCTTTCCCGGGGAGATCTACCTGTTGTTGGATGACAGAAATTGCCTGGAAGAGGCCATTGATAAGATTAATAAGAAATTGAGTGTGTAAGGCTGCAGAGGTTTTGGATATGATCTCACTGAGTGTTTCCACAGTAGTGGAAGATTGAGTGATAGCAACAGCAGCAGTGGCTATAGCCCCTAAGGAAAGGATAATGGCAGTGACAATTGCTGTGGTAATACCAAAATCTCTCTTGACCCGGGGGAAGGGCTGGATAGCCATCTGGTCCATGACAGTGACATCATGGAAATGAGTGGCATTAGGTATGGGAACCCAGATTGCTGCCGGTTCATGCACAAAGAGAACTAGAGAGGTGAGGAAAATCCAGCATGCCAAGATAGTGCAGTTAGTGAGGGAGCAGTTAAGTGTATCCTCTGGGTCACTCATGACATTAGCAAGAAGCAGAGCAAATGGAGGACAAACACAAATGGGTGAGGAGAATGAAAAAGTGATGTTAACAGAGACTTCATTAGGTGTCCAGATTGGGTCTGTGAGAACCGAGGAATCCGTCTCTGAGTTATCATCCACATATGTATCAATAAAGAAGGCTCCACCTAATACAAAGAAGAGAGGATGCAAATCCAGCCAAGCCACCAGGCCGCAGAACTCCCAGGCCCCCTGACAATGTCTTTATGCCTGGGGTCAGGGTAGACATAGGTAAGGTTTTGTAGAGACAAGGTGTCTCCAGGCTGCCAGGGAGGAAGCCTGTGGGCATCCATCATAATCCATACAGAGGATCATACAACAAGGAGTAAGGGGGAGGCAGTGTTCCCATGGAATAGGAAAGCACAATGTGGTGGGAAGTTTATGGGTGGGCAGACACCAGGTCCATGGAGGATGCCTGACCCTTGAAGGGGAGGGATGGTGGCCCCAGGGGGCACGAAGGACACTTTAGTTTCAGATGTGTCTTTTACTAAGGGAGACCAAATTTTGAGGCCCCAAAAGGATCCCTGGCTTCAGTTTCCACAAAAGTCGCCTGTTGTGATGTTAAAGAGGGAGTAATAGCAAGAGACATTAGGGGAGGTGGGGTTAAGGACTGGGCTGAAGCAGAAAGATCCTGCAA